TATCCTGCTGTATTTTTCTTGATGTAGGTGATTCATTCTCTATACTTCTTTTTCTCCTCTCTTCTTTCCAAGTAATGCTGTCTTGGGTCCTGCCAGCAGTTCATTCTTTGGCATTTTTGAGTATCATGTAAATTGGAAAATTTCCTGTATTGTAGTTTTTTTCAGTATCAGCATCATTAAACTGTATAACATTTGAATTATACATCGTAAAATTCTCAGAATGTCTTTTTGTGGCAGGGTCAAAGACTCAGGATATCGGGTTTACCTTCTACACCAGTACTGTCTCCACACCACACATAAGAACTGCACTGCACAATGTGAGATACACTGTTGCAGTCCACTCATTCTAGAACTATAAGCAACAAGTGTTCTCGGCCCTTAAAAAACTCCGAGACTTCAAGGGGAGCATCATTTTATTAGAAAAAAAATCTTTTACACATTTTCTCCATTTTCTTATAGGAGAAAGAAATATTCTTATATTCAATCTTCATTTAGTTCTCTTTCTTAGAGGGTTTCTAACAGAGCTCACTGTGCCTGAACTGCACTACAAGAGTGACAAAACAAATTCCCCTCATTTACTTAGTCAATATACACCCTTTCACACCAGATTAAAGGGGCATATTTTAGTGTAATTCATCACATTTCTTCTTAAAAATCATGGGGGTGTGATGGACTACAAGGGATAGAATACAGAATTCTGAATTTGAGGTCTCAAATCATTGTCATAAATAAAAATTTTATATATATCATTCTATTTCAGAGTTAAGAGTTAACAGCAACAGATCATGTTCAAACAGTACATCAAAAAGTCGTTCAAGATTTGGGTTAAGAGGCAAAAGAGAGAGGTTTGTCAGCAGAGAAATTCTATGACACCAAACACCTGCTGTTCAGTCTTCAGTGCTGGGCTAGGGTCCAGGTCAATCTGTCTTGGAATGGGAAGTGATCTTTTTAAAACACAAAAGCTATTACTTCCTCTGTGACTGAAAATTTCAAGAAATGTCATCTTAGACCAAAAGGAGATGTTGGCAAAATGAAAACTAAAATACAAACAGCACACACAAAGATTGGAAGAAAAGTAAGGTCCAAAATAAGTGTTAGTTGGATGTGTGGCAGGAAATAGACTCATCTCTTCTTCCAGTGTATATCTACAAAATGGACATGATAGTTAGTACAAGGAAAGATGGTGGGACCTGGGATGCAAGACAAAGTACCAACTTCCAGCTCCTCTTCAAAGAATCCAAAATACTTTGGACATTAATCTGATGTCTTTAAGCCTCATTTTTCTCAGAAGATAACCACAAGTTGTTTTACAAACTATATAAGTATAGTATTTAATTAGTAGCATAGTTACTTTCGTGTTCTCTCTTTTTCAATTTTTTCTTAAATTTTAAAAGTGATTGGAATGTGATTCCACTATTATAAGGAAACAAAAGATTAACAAATAGCATTTTTCCTAAAGCTATAACAAGAAACACATGCACATGGGTAGATAGCTGTAGTGCCAATTTTTAAGTAAGATTTTGCAAAGTTTTTTTTTTAAATTGCTTGTATTCTACAGATTTCTTATTTTTTCCTAAAGCTATAACAAGAAACACATGCACATGGGTAGATAGCTGTAGTGCCAATTTTTAGGTAAGATTTTGCAAAGTTTTTTTTTTTTTTAAATTGCTTGTATTCTACAGATTTCTTGGTAACATTTGTAAAAATCTTTAATTATCTTATGCATTCAGTAGTAAGCACATGTTTGTCTTTGACTTCACAAGCTGTGCACAGAATATATGGTGACATCTGTCATTATCTAATCTGTTTTCTGGAGTGTGGAAAGTACTTAGTTTCCTTCCCTATGTAATTAGTGGGAATCCCAAAGGAATATTTGTCTTTTCTTCAAATCTTTCTTCGTGATTGATTTTTAGTTCTGTAAGATATCCCATCAATGTTACTAGAATTTTTAAAAAAGTTACTTCTAATTTGATGAACTAGTTTTATTGACTGTCTTAGGCAGCTCTCTCTTTGACTACTGATAGGTTTCGAGTGAAATCACACTTATCACCTGAGTCCCAGTGAGACCATGATATATTATTTTTAAAGTGAGTGATTTTGTAAATGATTACAACCCACAAATTTGATCTCATACTTGCCTTTTGGATATGACAGAGATTAGGTTCTGGAAAGCTTATCTCTGTTTTGACCCTTAGACTCCATGGTGATGACACAAATCTGTTACCTTTTGGTTCATAAGGAGATAGAATGTTTGTTTTTTTAATGAAAAAAAAACTAGTATTTGCAGAACACTGAAATTATTTTCAAAAATTATATGAAGGAAAAAATTGTGTATTCCTTCCATGGAAACTCTTCTAAAGGGCATAAAAATATTTGGAAAGAGTAGCCTCAAATTCAGATCATCAGGGCACAAGAACCATTTGTAAGGATTTTTACCAAGGTCATTAGATACATTCTCAGTATTATGGATTTGAATCATTTCCACTGCTCTTTCATTGTTCATATTTTAGTCGGAGAGTCAGACATAAGCTGGGATGAGGATATAGCAGAATATGAACTCTGGGACGGAAGGTAACCAAGGGCAGTTGACATCTGGAGGAAATATGATCCACACTTGGAAATTTCAAGAACAGAATTATCCCTTCAAAGGATATTAGTATTTGAATTATATAGTATTATGTCAGGCAAGGAGAAAATGTATCTTAACTCAGTATATGTTGTGTAATCAAAGTGTGTGTTGGTACTCATCAGTGATTTGAGGACATTAATGATTTGGGTAATATTGACTATGTGGGGAAAATGGAAGGAAGATTTTCAGAGTCAGGTATGGGCTAAAAAATGAAATATTCTCTAAGTTACACTTAAGAGTTTGGAATTTAAATTTTAATTATGAAAGAGACTATCTTTAATCTTCTTAAGGCCAAATATTTCATTCTTGCTATTCATTGAAATCAAAGACTAGATCACACAGAAGAAATTTAGAATAGCAAAAACAATTCTGGACAACAAAGGCAAGGCAGGAGGCATCACAATCCCCGGTTTAAAATTATACTACAGAGTTACTCTGACAAAAACAGTATGATACTGGCAAAAAACAGACGTGAGAATCAATGGAACAGACTGGAAGAAGCAGAAACAACACCAAACACTCAGCCACCTTATTTTTGACAAAGGGACAAACAGTTTCATTGGAGGAAAGATAGCCTCTTTAATAAATGGTGCTGAAACAAATGGCTTTCCACATGCTAAAAATTAAAACTCTCATCATGCACAAAACTAAAATCAAAATGGATCAAAGATCTCAATATTAAAACAGATCTTCTGGAAGAGAAGAAATAATGTTTAAATATTTAACCTAGAGAACAAATCATTTTAAATATTTCATAACTTATGTAAAGCTTTCAAGAAAGATAGCCAAACTCTACTTCATTTCAATAAATAAAACAAATAACATGCATATCACCCCATGTGCTTGAAAGATTACCCTATATTTTACCCACTTTCCTGTCATTAGGACATAATACCCAATTCCCATAAATTTATGGAGGAGAGGTTTATATTGGCTCATGGTTTCAGTCCATGATTGGTTATCTCCAAAGCAGAAATGTGATGACAAAAGGGGCCTGATGGAAGAAGAAATGCTCAAATGCAGAAACAGTATGTTAGAAGAGTCTGAATTGGAGGAAAGCTGCTCATATCATGGCAGCCAGGAAGCAGAAAAAGAAGGGAGGATCCAAAGAGTGAACTATGTCCTTATAGGTCACCCATAAGTGACCCATCTAGTCCAACCAGATATTATCTCCTAACTGCAAGTCAGCTACCACAGCCCCACGATCCAGCCACCCTCCAAAAACTTCCAAACACAGTAAGTTTGAGGAGGACTTTTCAAGCACAAAATATAACATTTTATATCAAAGTTACCTTTATTTCCAAGGCCATTGTATAAAATATTCTTAATCTTCCCCTCATCTTATGGTTAATGGAATATAAAGACACTTAAATGTTTATTATTTCAGGATGACTGCTTCATTTGTAAGACATTTTATCATCTACGTCAGATTTAGATAGTACATATTTCTTGAAATAACTAAACTTTAATTGTCATGGTGACCACTTAAATATCTTCCCTAAAGAATAACACATGAAAACTGGCATTTTTTCCTAAGTATTTTATGATAACAGGGTGAAGTACCACTAGGGATCTTGTTCAACTCTCTACCATAGAAGATAATTTGACACATGCCACATTTTGGGAATGTGTCTTTTCTTTCATATCCCAGAGGGAAAAAAAGCTACTGAAAATATTATGACTATCATCCTAAATATTCTAGTTTGATGTACATGTACTCAAAATTAACTCACAAATACTGAAATGTAAAAGCCTAGCATTAACTGAAATTTATTCAATATTTATTGGGCAAATTCTTTGCAGCACAATCATTTCTAGGAATCCAGGACAAAGCAACTGATATCATAGGGTCTGGCAACCTGGCCTTATAGTCTGGAATATTGCAGCCTGAATATGCAGTTTGAATAAAATTGTAAATGTTTTTCTTGTTCAGAATCATATAGAATTAGAGAATATATTTCTTAACATAAAAGTGGCTTATATGCAGGCAAAGATTATTCAGAAATTCTTCCACAAATTTTATTTTCTACCATTGCATTGAAAGTACAATTATTCTGCAAAAAGGAAATGATGACAGTATTAAGAATGACAGGTGACATGATAGCTATAAACAGAAATAGTAACACATTTCACAATTTTAAATTCCAGGAAAACAAATCAGATGTAAGTCACAGAGAAATATCACAAAACTGTGTCCTAAAATATTGCAGACACTGCAGAACTGAACAGTGGCTCTTCAAAAAGTTAATCATAAAATCACAATGGTTACATTTCTAGTTATATATGCAAAAATGTAGAAATAAAGGTGTACAAGAGATATCTGTATGCCCTTACTCAGAGCAGGTTTACTTACAATAGTAAATAGATGCATGGAAATCAGGTTCACATTGATGAATAAATGCATAAGCATATCAATTTTCCCCCTTCATGGAATATTGTTCAGTCTAAAAAGGAATGAAATTATAATGTGATTCAATATGAATGAATCTAGAAGACATTATTTCAAGTGATCCAAGCTATACAAAGACAAATATCACAGTGCTTCTCAGCCTTTGGATATGATCAAGTATAAAAACACATATTACATGATTTCACATGTATGAATTACTTAGGGCAATTAAATTAATGGACAAAAGTATAATGGTGGTTGTTTGTGCGTGGAAGGGAGGAAATTGAGAGTTATGATTTACAGGGTACAGTTTCATTTCACGATGAAGAAAAAGTTCCAGGCATGTATAATAATGGCTACACAACAATGTAAAGGTAATTAATCCCACTGGACCATATATTTTAAAAGGACAAAGATAGTATATTTCATTTTATGCTTATATTGCCACAACTTTTAAAAAAAGTGAATGGAGTGTGAGAGGCTGCAGGCATAGTATTGATGAAAAGAAAAGAAAAAAAGAGAGGTGTAGCTATAATAGAATGAAAGGTCAAGAGGGGTTTGTTTTGTTTTAATATGTAAAAAAGTAGCATATATTTGGAAGATTCAGAGTGTAGCAGATACTGATGGTATTTCAGAAAGAAGAATAGTAATAACTGTTGACACAGTTTTTTGGGGAAAATTGGGCAAAACTGAGTTGTATTATTTATAGAAACATAAATAGGTAGTAAAGTAAAAAAAAGGAATAATTCATGAAAGTAATTGACACGAAAGCTACCATTGTCTGTCATTACAGGTGGAGAGGTGAGATCGAAAAGGAAAGCAAGGGATTTGACAGGTAATTGCCATTATTTTTCATAATGAAAGTGTTTTTTATATAATGATGGCCATATATACCTTATAATTATTTACTCAGTTTTGTAGATATGTATATGTGTTCTCTTCTATAACATTAATATTCAGGAAATTACAAGAAATACCAAGATTGATGAGTCAGGTAATTGTATCTAAAGTACCTAAAAGGTTCCCAATTTTTTGAAATAGGTAAATGAGATAGATAGGTAATTCACAGAAGAAATACAAGTGGTCATTAAAAGTACAGTTTGATGCTTAACCTCAATACTCATTTGAAATGTTAATTAAATTAGAAAAATATTTTTCTTATAAAGGTAGCACAAAATTTTAAAAGATGAATAATTTTGAAAGATAGTAAAAATATGGACTGATGCATGTCTTTAAACATTATGTGGGGATGGGGATTTAGCTCAGTGGTTCCACTGCCTGTCTTGCAAGCTCAAGGTGCTGAGTTGGATCCCAGGTACAAAAACAAAACAAAACTCATTATGTGGGAAGTTCCTTAAAATCAAAGATGGGGAAATCTTGTGACTAAGCAATTCTATTTGTAAGTTTACCTATCAGTAATTAAGGAATTATATGATAAATGTGGAAGTGTTTCCCTGCAGAATTAGTAATAGCAAAATGAACAAACGTGAAAGGAAAGAAGTTAAATATCTCACACTAGAAGATTGAATAAGTAATGTTATGAAAATGCTTCTATTTGTAAGTTTACCTATCAGTAATTAAGGAATTATATGATAAATGTGGAAGTGTTTCCCTTCAGAATTATTAGTAATAGCAAAATGAACAAATGTGAAAGGAAAGAAGTTAAATATCTCACACTAGAAGATTGAATAAGTAGTGTTATGAAAATGTAATGGCACACTGTGAACTCATCAGAAAACAAGTAGACTGTCCGTTATGTACTATCTAGGAAAAAAAGTCCAATCTATGAAAATGAAATTTTTGCAAATTCTACTATCATTTCAGTTCAAAATGTTTTATGTATTTGCTTGTACATTCATAATTGTATGACTACAACATAAAGACAAGAGTAAGAAAAAATTAACGATGATACAGCTAACATATATAACATATATCTACAATATATCTATAACACATACAATAAAAATATAACACATACACACACACACACACACACACATATATATATATTACTTCTCATAGTAGTGATTATAAAGTTGGAAGATTAATTCCTTTTTTAAGTCGATCGATAATTACCTATTTGTACTATTGTAATTAGAAGTCCTGCTTCCTTTTCATGTGCTTTAATGTATTTCAAATACATTAAGACAGAAAAGAAGTTTGGAAGTTGCTTTGTGTTTATTTATATTTTTTTCACTTTTCCTTTGGAAACCTAATATCACATTTTCAGGTTCTGATTTCAATATTATTTTCCTATTGCTTTTTATACATATTTAAATTTGATTTGAAATGAAACAAAAAACCCAAATTTAACTCTAAGATGTGCTTAAATACAGTGTTAAAGTGAAAATTGAAGGAAAAATTGGACACAAAGCTTTTGTACATGGGGAGGAGATGGGAAATGGGATAATATAAAATAAAAATTTAAAAAATGCAGTTAATTTTAATATCATTATCAAAGATAAAGAAAATTCCATTAAATTTGTTAACTATACCTAAGAATTTGAAAGAACTGCAGATTTAATTTTAGTTAAGGTAGCAAAGAATCTATATCCAAATATTTGTCTTGATTTTACTCTGGGAAATGCTAATTTTATTAGCACTAGTGATCATTAAAAATTTTTAAATGAGAAAAAAATGACTATAACATTACAATTAAAAAAAGGAGTCAACTTATCTATGAAACTACGGTGAAAACAAAATTCTTAATGCACTATGTCTGGCGTGCTTCCTCGAATTATACAACATAACTGTTTAAAAATTTTGATTTTCAGCCACCTGCTGCTTATTTATTTGAGATAATGCTATTAAAATTAAAAATAAAATTTCAAAAAAAGTTAAGCTAGCTTATATTAATGATTAAATCACCCATTTTAATGATCAACTGAGTAAAACAAAAATTGATTTGATTGCTAAATCAAAATAACTGTTCTGACAGTTGCTCGTATCTGCAGGCTTACCTTCCAGGTCATTGAAATATTAGGTAGCCACAGGCAGGTATTGTTGCCATTGATGGATACATCAACATGTATTTTTGCACTTCTTCAGAATTTTGTGAGGAAACTAATTTAAATGTAGTTCAATGAAAAATGACATGCTTGATGGCTTCGTGAAGTTGAAATTTAGCCAGGCTCCATTACACTTTGATACATTTTCTTTATGACATGTTTCCTGATAAGATGGAATAGGAAAGAGATTCCTCTAACAGATATAGAGGGCAAATGGGAAGCTCCACACTCCCTGTTGCTGACCTATTGATATCTCCTTGATTTGAGATGGGACTGTCAGATTCTCCAACTTGCCCTTTAGTTTTTCTAACTCCTGGCTTGTGTGCTTTGTTCAGTGATCCAAGCCCTCCTCTTCTGTAGGACACTGGCACCACTTGGCTGAAAGGCAGAAAATACCCGCAAAAAGGGCTTCAGTGTTGTTCTAGTGGACTCCATGGCATTCTTGAGAGCTACAACTTGTCCTTGCTGTTCCTCGCTATAGCTATGGATCTTCCTTGCTTGGTTACATATCATGTGAACTTCAAGTTCCACCATCAGACACTAAGACAGAAACGTTGCAGTGGCTACTTAACCTGCTCCCACAATTTTGTGAAGTTAAATCATTCTAACAAATAATAAGTTTATAGCTCTATGCTAGGGGTTCTTGATGAAGTTTGACTAATATACTATGATGTACACTGAAATAATTTCTTTCAATTTTTCACTAGAAAAATAATTTTAATATATTTAATCGATCACTATAAAATTAATTTTAAAGTTGATTAGAGAAATTGGTTAGATTAATTAGTATCTTCCCTATTAGTCCCTAAATGAAATTTGACTATCATTTAAAATGTTGATGAAATGGATATTCAGTATTAGGAATGAAAAAAATAAAGGTAAAGCAAAATGTTGTTTTGTTCTGTTGAAAAAAGGCCTGTAATGGCTTGTGTCTAGATATACCTCAAAGTATCACGTGGTCATAGGTGGATCTTTGCAGAGGTGGCTGGATCTAGAATGTGTGATGCTGAGATTAAGTATGCAATGCTCGGATCAAGTGTGTGTGATTACTAAATTAGTTCACTGATTGTTTTGGCATAGTTCTGCATGTGGATAAAGAGAAGGCCCACCGTGGGTGTGAGGGTTACTTACCCTAATGGGGTGTAGACTGAATTGAATATAAGAGACAGAAAGAGGGCTTCTGTTGGTTGCTTGCTGCTCACTGCTTTTGCTTCCTCTTGCCTTCTGCTTTCCATACCATGAACTGCTTTTTTTTCCCCCTCTGCCATGCCATCCTGCCTTAGAGCCAGCCTGCTATGAACTGCAACCTCTACAAAATGTGAACTACAGTAAACATTTCCTCCTTTAATTTGGGGTTTTGTGTATTTTGGCTAAGCAATGAGAAAAAGACAGTATCACTTTTATTGACTAGAAATAATGGTAAGATAAGATTTTTGCTTTCAATTATCTACCTCATTCTCACATTATCAAAAACAAGTGCATTTTATTTGGAAGCCCAAAATTAAAATTATGCAATAGTTGCTCTTATAACTCTACTTTATCAATGTAGTTTATCATATTAGATAGTTAATAATTTGGAAGACTGGATGGTCATACTAAGAGTTGAAAGGAGATGATATGAATTATATCAGGCCAGAATCATCATGCAAGCAACAACTCCAAAAGGTAGAGGTTTAAATGAAGACTCTGGGCTGGTAGGAACAGGTTCTTGGCATAGGCAAGAAGGGTCCACAGGAGCAAAGATTTTGAGCATGTAGAGTAGGGGCCACAAATAGGGTATATTTTTCCAAATATCCAGTGGTAATACAAAAGTATGGAGTTAACAGGATAATTAAAATCCAACAGCTCCCAAAATGAAGAATTTGGAAACAAGTTATTATCTCACTAATAATTTTGAAAGTATGATTCATTTTATTTTAATCATTCTCATAAAATATAATTTTGTTATATTTTATTAATCATAAAATAGTGTGACATAGCTAACATTTTACATGAATTAATTTTGAAATAAATTTACATAAAGTGTCTGCCAAAAAATGAATTTATA